TAATTCTGGAAGAGCTTTAGAAACCGTAATTAACCATCCAAGATTTCGTGTTGCATGAGTGGTATAATATTCTAAAAATACCCTACAATAACAATATGACGGTTGACGCGATTATTATCTAAAAATAAAAAAAAAAGTTAATATCGTTAAAATTTGAGAATTAAACGATAAACTTATCTTTACCTTTTAAACATAAACGAATCGCAATTTGTAAATCAGTTAAGCTGTTTGATTCATAATTATGTAATAATTCCTTTAGTTCGTTGTCCATCTGCTCCACATTTGGTTCTTTATGCACTTTACATCAACTATGTTATTATTCCATCGTCTAACTTGTGGTATATGTAAAGTCATCTGTTGCCTGTTTTTTCTTCTTCCTTATTATTCTCAATTTCATCAAGCAAAATAAATTTTATAAGAAAACTAGTGGCTCCAATGCTCCAATGCTCCAATGATAATATCACTCATAACATTGTAACACACATCCAATAATTTGCAGGTTTCTTGCTTTTTCTTGATAAATTTCCAAATTAAAAAAGAAATATAATATACATAATTCATCAATTTTTCAAATTTATGTCGCTTTTTATATCCGACAAGGACAATACACGTGAGCTAGAGCCGCACAAGCATGAATTACATCAGTAACTGTGGATGGCCATTTAATCTCAGCCGATTGATCAACATAACTTTTAAATAAAAAGATTTAATCCCAACCTTTAATTCCTCTATTTTCAACACACTTTCTTTTTCCTCTTGTTCGTTATCACTCAGTTCTGTTTTATTTGCCCATGAATTGGAACCTCCTTATTTTCCCTCCATACTTGTACCGTGGTTCTTCCAATTATTAATTGTATTGTCTCTTCATCGTCAAGATAAGCAGAAATTCGTTCATAATCAAATTCGTCTACCCAGGGTTTTTTATTGCTAACCAATGGTTTCAATGAGGTATTATTTCGATTACGATGATAAATCCGATGACATTGATCTTCATTTAGGGTAATATTTTCACCAGATGGAATTAAATTGCAATCATATTGATCTTGTTCTTGTACTTTTTTATTTGAAATTCAATTATTGACAAACTGTACCATCAGCATTAATCGTTAAGAGATTTCCAGGACATCTCGCATTATAAGATACTATTTTGAAATTTAAACATTCATCACTATCATAAGTTCGAATATTATTCTCAGCCGCACTAAATAAATCCCAAATTTTGACTTTTTTTCCTTAATAATTAACAGTAATCCTTCATCGTCACGAATAAATTCTCCAAACATTATTTTCGTACCTATCCCAAAACTTTTCCTTGCATTCCATGGTGGCCAAGTTAAATAATTGTATGGATTGAGTACCTTCATTATATTTCTCGATCAAAAAATGATTGTCAGAAATGCAAGCCCGTATTCTCTTTAAACAAGAATGGGCTTTGTATAAATTAGTCAATTCATCTTGAAGTCTTATCGGGTAAAAGTAATGTTGTTTTATGTATCGTTCAAGATTCTTAATACAATTAGTATAACTAAAGAAAGATTCCACTTGCGTTAAATATGAAGCAATGCAATGCAAATTTTCATCTGTGGATTGAACAAAATTAACCATTCCACCTTTTGGAAATTCATAGTGGAAATCACTTATATCTTTATTTGTGCGGTAAATGACCGTTTTACCATGTGTTTTCTGACGGACTTTTAAGATCCGGAAAATTTTTCTTGTCAATTGTCAATGGTTTCTCATCGAGCAATTTATCTTTGTTTTCCATTTTGATAATTTTAATTTGAAATGTGTCTAAAAGTATCATTAGATGTATATGTGTGTATACTTCTTTTTTTTACAATAAAAACAACACTTACTGCTGTTAACGGGACTTATGGCCAAATACAAATCTTTCTTTGTGGGGTACCTCCGTCATCGTTTATATATATCTTATATCTAGATTGATGAATTTTTTTCGCCTACCTTTTGATACGTTTTATATGTTTCATTTTGACCGCAGTAAAAAAGAAGATTCGTATTTTAAACTTTTTGACTAGACTTTTTTATCCATATTAAAGAACCTATACTATATGAGGGATTGCTGACGTTGTTCGTTTCAATTGCTGTCATTTTTTTTTTTATTTTAATTTCACCATTCTTGATTACGGTACGATCATAATTTGAAGGATCGTACCGATCTGCAAAATCGTATGTACCTCTCCTCTACAAAAAAAAAATCGGAAGTAGTTTTATTTTTTATAGTAAACTGATTATACTGCGCATTTCAATTCCAAACATTCCATTTTATTCCTCTGTCCAAAATCATGGCATAATATTTTCTAGGATGTATTTTTACATCATTATGCTATGCCATCGTTCCCTTTTTGGTGTTATATTTCGTTTCAGAAATGAGATCTTTGGATTTTTCATTGGCTACATGTTCTATTTGATATAAAGAACTTCTTTTGAAATAATTGTTCATAGATGATATCAGCTGGATTATATCGACGAATTATATAGAAAGCTAAAATATATAGGTAAAAGTGTGTTATTCCAATGCCGTGTGATCCGATTATGGTGCACCCTTTTTCACCTCATTAATACGATCAAATTCAATCTCTTTTTTACGAGTAGGACATTATACTTTTAGGAGTCACATAAAATTTCCTGTTGTCATGCTGCGTCAATTCTAATTGGATGTTTGAATATATCGAAGGCACCAATGAAATTGAGTTACGAGCAAGACATATGATGAACATGAACATGATTTTAACATTGGTTGACGGCAATCCCGTAAAAAATGAAATTTTTCATAACGCTACTTTGTATTCGTCTCTTATGAATTTGTTATTTTCTCAACATTAATTACTACTTTCTAACGATATCATTTTGCAAAAGGATGACTTTTTATTTTTATTAAACTTAAACTTTTAAAACACGCTTACATTAACATAATTTATTTGATAATAAAGAAACTATGTAAAGATTATTTTCTTCTAATGAAAATCGAAAAAGAAGTCCTCGCTTTGCTTATCTACCTTAATTTAGTCTTATAGATGTCTGATTTTATTCGGCAAATTTTTTTATACATGTATCTAGTTATTCTATTTATTGTTCTTTTCACATTTGCACCAATGAATAATATATTTGTTTTAATAAATAACGTTTTTGACAAATTAAATATCGTCGGAACAGTTAGATTGATATAATGTATGAGACAAATACCGTAAATGTCCAATTTATGTATGATAATCCAAAAAACTAAGACGACGAACGACCTTTTTATTAAAATAATTCGATTAATTCTATATTGACTAATCCAGAACATGCAACGAAGTCTGATATAACAGTCAAACAATCAATGTAAATTTTTTCTTTTAATTATTGGACCCTTTGGTAGTGGTAATATGATCACAATGAAACCAAATAGTAGTATAATGTAAAAACTTGTTGTAAGGAAACCGAGTGGATGATTATGTAATAAAACTCGAGAGAAATTTACAGCTCGCCTGCAAAATACATTTAGTTACATTAATTTCTTACATCAAAGGTTTTAATTAAAGGTCCGTAATTCGAAATTTTTTATTTTTATTTAAAAAAAAAATATTTATCATATCTGAAAGAAAAAATGGTCGTTCCTAATAAAGAAAATGATTTTTAAACAAAAGAAACCCATCCTCAGAAAGCGACCCAAAAAAATGATTTACATAAGAAACAAAAGATAGAAGTTTGTAAATATGGCAGATCAATTTGTTCTATTTTGGCCGATCAGATCTGATGACCTCTCTGTACAACAGAGTTTAAACTATTTAAGCAATAACTTTACAACCCGTTATTAATTTTTTTCGTTTTACAATTTTTTTTAAAAATGTCGAGACAATTTTTTCCCAAGTTAAGCCAAAATTATATTGAAATTTTAGATGATGATGAATACTATGATATTACAATAGAAGTCGGCAAGGATCCGAATGTGAAAATATTTCGTTCGCATATTATTATTTTATGTTACCGTTCTCCGTTTTTGCGACGAAAGTTGTCTTCCAGTAAAAAGAATAATAATAACGCCCTAGTTCATATTAAGTTGCCAAATATTTCTCCAGAAAATTTTCAAATTATTTTGAAGTAAGTATATACACTGAATCTAAGAATATGATTATCATTTCCTTCGTCATCTTTTAATAATCATAAATTATTTATGATGTAGGTACATTTATGGTGGAATTATTTCATTAGACGAACAAGATACTTCAGATACTTTAAAATTATTGGTTGCTGCCGAAGAGCTACTTCTGCAAGAGCTAGTTGAATATTTACAGATTTATTTGATTGAAAATAAATCTGAATGGATGGAACAACATTTTGAGCTTACTCATAGAACAAGTTTTCAATTTAATTCTTTGTCAATACTTCAAGTGTTTTGTACACATTTTATGGTTAAAACGCCTGAAAAGATATTTAAATCACTTGATTTCACATCACTTCCTGAAAAATCTTTAATTTCACTTATCAAAAGTGATGAATTACAAATGGATGAAATTGAAGTTTGGGAACACGTATTAAAATGGGGTCTTGAAAAAAATCCTACGCTTAATTCTAATCCTTCAACTTGGTCAGATGATGATTTCAAAATGATGGAAAATACCTTACAACATTGTCTACCCTTGATTAGATTTTTTAGTTTAACTTCTGAAGATTTCTTTGAAAAAATTCGCCCATATAAAAAGCTTTTAAGTCCCCAACTTTATGAAGAATTATTGAAATCTTATTTAAATCCCAATATCGAACCAAATATTAATATTTTACTTTCTAGAAATAGAAAGGTTGATGGAATAATTGATTCACAAATCGTTGATTTAAATATTGTTTCACTCATTTCAAGATGGGTTGATAAAATAGATATCAAAAGCAAATTTTTTTATGCAAGAGGGTTGCATCTACCATATAAATTTAAATTATTATTAAGAGGAAACAGAGATGGTTTTACTCCCAAAACGTTTCATGAATTATGTGATAATAAACCAAACACTGTTACATTCATCAAAGTAAAAGGGACAGATGAGATCCTTGGTGGGTATAACCCTTTAATATGGAATGAATATAATGGATGCAGGATGACCAAAGATAGTTTTATATTTTCTTTTAAGCATAAGGATAACATTAAAGATTTAATTTTAAGTCATGTGAAAAACGTAAGTAATGCAATAATTTGTAATAGAATTCATGGCCCCTCCTTTGGTAAAGATCTTCAAATATCATCTTTTGATTATAATCATAATATTCATTATAGTACTAGTAATTTTCATTATAATTTCTGTCAACTAGAAAATTATGAAAAAGGAATAAGAAATACAGATAATACATTTTCTATAGAGAATTATGAAGTTTATCAAATTATTAAGGAATGATTTAATATATTTTAAGATCATATTCTTGTGATTATCTTTAAAAAGTTTATAAAATACATTATAATATTTAATAAATATTTTTTTAAATTGATTTAATTTATGAAATATTCATTAATTACAAGTTTAGGATCTATAAACCTCATATTATTATGGAGTTCTAATTCTAATACCAAATCTTATCAAATAACGATACGATATGAGAGATTTGCTAGGAAAATGGGGCTTTGAGCATTTTTTAATTAAAATTTTAACTTTATCAAAATTAAAATGCAATAAAAAAAAAATAGAGCCCCATTTTCCTAGCAAACCTCCCATATGCTTAACCTAGCGATTTTGGATTTTCTTTTTTTTTTAAAAAAAAAAAATATCCTAATAAATCCAAGAGCATAACTAAACAATTCATTA